AATATGAGTGTGATTATTAATAAGTCTTGATTTTAAGCTACTATTGCTACAATACTTTTGGAAATAATAACCTATCAGTAGTGTTGATAAACGGCTCGATTTGAGCCGATTTTTCAAAACGGCTAACTCAATATTTTATCTAGTATAATATTACGCAAGCCTGAAGATTTTGCTCATAGATAGCACAAAGGTCTAGACATCAATTAGCGAAATTTCGAGGCTTAGGCATTATTTTTTCGGCTAAAATATTGTTAGCCGCTCAAAAATCGGCTCAAAACGAACCGTTTAACAACACTATCTACCAATATGATTTAACAAATTTTTAATTATTACAATCAACCAGAGTTGTTAAAGTAACGAGCTACTTGTAGCGCCCTATATTTTTGGTAGCTATAGCTAATAGCGCGCTACTTTTTTAAAAATTATTTATTTTTAGCGCGCATCTTTTTTTGAAAGTAGCTAAGTAACTTTAAAAATATAATTAATATAACTATAAACATGAAAATTTAAATATAATATCATAATTAATAATAATTTTTATGATTTATTATTTAATTTTGAAAATGATAGTTTCAATTTGTATTATAAACCTAAATCACGTGTAAATTATTTAAAATGTCATAGTAAATATATATCCTTATCGTTGAAAGTGAGTCTGACGATGATATTAATGAAATGGAAGATACCAAGGGAAGAAAATGTTCAATAATAATAATGCAAATTTCCCATTTCCAAAATTTGAAAAATATTTTGAAATTAATATAAAAACCACAAAACTGGCTACAAATTTATTTGTTTAAAATGTAAAAAATATATCCTCAAATAAATTCAGTAGCTATAACCTCAAGAAACACCTAAAGGTAATTGACATTTTTAAATTCTAATAGTATTTATTTTATACAAATGTTCATGCCAACAGCCTTAAGGAAATAGAAAAACATATAAATAATTTTCGTATAGGCGACTCTACCCAAAGACCGATTCAATTCAAACCAAATTGATTAATAATGCACATGCCAATATTTCTCAGAAACGGCTAACAAAGTTATTGTTGATTTTATATTTGATACAGTTCAGCCATTATCCTTGATTGATAATCAATCATTTACCATGATGATTAAAACTCTATCCTTTAGTACAACAATTTTATGTCGCCAGACACTAATGAATAAGATAGCAGAAATTTTCTAATGCCTAGTCATAAGAGATGCTCCTGCCATAATCTAAATTTGATAGCAACAGTGGATGCTGAAGGAGCCTTAAAAAATGAAGATTTTAAAAGGGTATCAAGATGCACTTTTTATAAATGTCAAACTCTAGGAATATGGAGAACAAATCTTCTAAATAACCCCACTAAATGTTACTCAGTATACCACGCAATCAAATTAATAGATTTTTTCTGGATGGAAGAAGAGAAATGAATTTTCTCGTGATCATGTTGGAATTCAATATATTAACTATGTAGGGCATACTTTTATAAAAGAGTATACAGAAGTAATTCTAATTAATAACTATTCAATTCCATATCATTTTAATTTTTTAGGTTATGTAATATGTGGCTCTTTCCCTTGAAATTTTTGAAGGTGAGGATAATATGGAGATGGGGTATTATGTTCTCAATTTAAGTAAAAGGCATTGAGAGAAGGTAAATAAAATTTATATTGTTTTGATTTTAACTGAATAATTTATTCCAACTTAAGGTTAGAAGCTAAAAATTTATAAAATTTTATGATTATGATATATTTTAAATACACTATTTTTGTAACTTTTAGATTCCCCAACCTATACAATGATGATAATGTATTAGCTGCAATGATTCATCTCAATTTTAAACTAAACTGGCCATGTATCAATTTCGATGATGCTAAAGATCAACGTAATAGGCTCATGGTAAAGTTGAATAGTCTTATACCAAACAAATATGGCCTAGTTACAACCACAAAAAGATTTTAACTGATAGTAGAAAATCCCCTCGACGCGTTATTTAAATCTAAATACTCAATGAGTATTTTTTTTATATTAAAAATATGTATATAAAATTAAATACTGCCTTGCCCTCAAATGCTAGTGTTGAGAGATTATTTAGTAAGGCGAAATTTATAATTTCTGATCGTCGCTCTATGGGTATGATAATATTGAAATGATTTTATTAAAATGCAACAAAATAAATAAAAAATGAATATTACCATAAATATTTATTTTTATTACATAAATTTTTTTATAATCAAAACTAACTATATTTAAATATTTATAAATGTTAATTTTTATATATTATTTACTATACAATTACATAAGCAAAAAATAAAACATATTTGTTTCTAAAATTTTTTTATAAAAAGTAGCTAAAGCTACCTTTAAAAAATAGTAGCAAATAGCGCGCTAACTTTTTTGATGGGTAGCTATAACCAACATTTTGTTGCAAATTTTAATTATGACGATCATTTTTTATAATTTGCTCATTTTGTTAAATAGTGTTATTTAAAAAAAAAATTTTTTTACAGGGATTCGAACCGAACACGGAAATGAAAATTCGGATTTTTTAAAAAAAATTCTGAACCCGAACCAAACCTGAGCCATGTTTATAATATTTCAAAAACCTCGAACCTAACCAGTCAAGTTTGAATGTTTAAAATCATATAAGATATTTGTAAAATTTTAAATATTAATAATTTAATGAGATTTTTTAATATTTTCAAAATATTTAAATATAAGAGGTTATAAATTCCTTAAATATTACAGATATTACTTAATGATGATGCATAAATTTGAGCTAAAAGGCAACCTGTTAATTTGCAGAATAGGATTAAACCCATATTCAGGCCCATTTTATCTGATGATAATAGTTTGGATGATGTTATCGAACAAGATAATTTAGAGTAATTGATCCAACTTAAAGAAAGGCAGGAGAAAATACTTAAAAGAGGGTCAATTTCAGATAAAATTATTGGAACTTTGGCGATTTTAAAAGATTAGATATAAGGAAAAATATTTTGCATTTTTGGAAGTCTGCTAAACTGCAGCACCCTGATTTATATATTTTATCCAAAAATCTTATATGCTATTCCTGCAATCCTAGTTAACATCATAATTTCATATAAATATATATAATATAGGTTAGGGTTAAAAGATCTTTTTCACATTTAAAATTCATTCCTTCACTGCATAGATCGAGGATGAGCGAACAGCCTTTGGAAGATATTATGCCGTCTAAATAAATTTTTAAATTGATACATCACTATGCCTTGTATTTTTAAATATTTTGCCAAAAAAAATAAAAATTTTATTTTATTCAAAAATGCCTAAACCAAAGCTGATCGGAACTAACCCCGAGTTCAAAAATATTCCCCTGAACCGAATCCATTTAATTTTTTATCTTTGAACCGCTGATTTTTTACTATTTTATAAATTTAATTTTCTTAAAATATTTAGGCTTGTTTATTCTAAAATAACCTATTTTTTTTTACATCCCTAGCTATTAATTTTATAAATTAGAGAGATGAAGTGAATTTATTCTCTAAGAATTGAACTATAAATCGTTGAGGCACAAAAAATAATAAAATTAGAAAATACCTGAGTGGTTAACAACATAATAAGTGCCTTCAAAATGTTGTACGTTATTGATTTTTTAATTAAAATATTAGATAATGTCGCAATTTATCCTTTAAATATTGGAAGCGACTGCGTGATTCCTATAACATATATAAAATAAAAATAGGCTTTAATAAAATTTGATTGTTTTAAGAAAATTGCTATATAATGACCAAATCTATACATATAGTTAGTTATATTCCTACACAAATTTTCGGCACCTATAAGGCAAATATTATTTTTATAGGTAGTACCGATAGGAATTTGAAAACATTAATGTGTTTATACGAATATCACATATACCCTATTAAGCGTGCGATTCAATTTGGTGCAGCTGATTCTATATATATATCCTTATCCAAAGTTATGGAAATTTAAAATATTAAGGATGAAGAATACCCAGTAAAATTTATGTTCACCCGTTTTATAAGTTTCAGCTACACTGAGGGTAGTAGAGATCATTATCTTCAATTGAAATTAATAATTTAGTGAAAGAAATTTTAATTCATATACACGACACGCTATATTCCATTTTTATAAAGTAGAGATCTGCAAAAGTAGGCCAGGTCCCTTAAAAAAATCGGGTTCGTGCTGGATCGGGTCTAATATTTTTTAAAAATTCGGGCAAGGTCGTGTCTTGAAATTTTTTTTAAATATATATAAATATATCAATTTTATATAAAAATATATGATTTTATTTATAGAAACTAGACGCCATATAACATATCTTTTATTTTGAGTAATTATAAAAATTAATTTCTATATTTAAATAAATTCGGGCCAGGCCGGGTCGGTAAATTTTTTTAAAAAAATTTCAGGTTCCGGACGGGCGTGAAAAATTAGGCCCGATGCAAATCACCAATTCAGATTAGCCCCGACCAGTAGACATGCATCTCAGTCGGGGCACGCAACTTATTACGAGTCGGAAAACTTGTACAGATTATATAGGGCAGGACGGAATTTTTTGTTCAATGGCTCAATCCAATTCCAAGTAATTTTTTATATTTAAAAAAGACTGAACCAAACCCGCTTGAATCCGTTTTTAAATCATTAAATAATTTCTCAATTTTTTAGCCATTTTACCCGATACGTAAAATGGATTAACTTTGAAGAAAACAAAAATTAATCGATTAGCGTTTCAATGCTTAAGAGTATCTTCAGCATGAGTCTGTAGATTTAGCAGCAACATCCAACTCTAGCCTTTTTTTAAAAAAATCTCAATATCACATTGATTAAAAACATTATTCAATAAAGGATTTTTATTGTAATTTTTGTAAAAAGAATTAAAATAATCTTTACAAATGCTATATAATAAAACTTATGTTGCTTGTATATTGTAAATGAAATTATAACATTTCTAAAGGTATATTCTACAAGAAAAAAGATCAACCGGTTTAAACCTGAAACCCAGAAATATTCAGACCGATTTGGCGGATAAATAACTTGATTCTTTTAAACTCGATCTGAATACAGCTGACCATTTCTTTCAGATTGTGGAGTGGTTTGAACCGATTACTTGGTTTACCTTCACTATTCTAAAAATTACCTGGACACGCAAAAAAAATATTTGGATACAATAATAGGATGTGAAATCAATACAATTTTCATTTATTGTAATCTAAATTTCCACAAAATAAAATAATCGGCAATTTTAAGTTTAATAAATATATATTTCTATAAAAGAATATTTAATATAAAATAACGTTTATAAAAAAATTCGCCAACAACTATTCTAACATTTATTTTTTTCGCTTAATCCTATAATATACATTGTTATTTGATCACTTTCCACTCTCAGCGTTTTAAATTTCTAACGTCCTACAAGATAAAAATTATATAAAGTACAACTGTATAATAATAATAATTTTTCTTTCGCATTATTAATTATAAAGAATAAAAATTTATTATTGCGTTTTCCCATTGTAATGCTTAATCGTTGCAAGGTATTCATTGATAATTTGTGAAATTATCGTTTTCTGCTGTCGATAAGGGAGATCCATCTTTCAGTAACTTTTTGTTTCTTCTCTCCCAAATCATTCGATGCTTTTGTTTCATAAAACAATATCTTGCTGTTATCTTTTGGCCTAAATCACCATCTAAATTTACATTTAAAAAAAATATAATATATAAATAAAACACATATATTAAAAACCTCGATTTTGTCGATTTAAAAAAAAAGGAGAAATAATGGAGCTTTTTTTAAAAAAAATATGTAGATTGAGGATCTATGAGTCTGGGGTTCTTAAGCACTGAGACTTTCTTCTGGGGTACTAAACTTTAATGGTTAATTTCATACTACATATAACAACATTATAACCCAAATAAGTGGCTACAAAAAAATTATATCAAATTACATATGGAAAATTTATAACTAACATGATTTTTATTACTTTTAAAAATGAACTTCTTTAAAAGGCTGCAATTTTTTCAAAAAAAATAATATGAGTAGAATAATTATCTTATATAAAATATTAAATCCTATACAACACGAATTATAAATATTTTATTTGAACAACATAAATGTTTAAATAACATATGTTCAAACTAGGTCTATTCAAAAATAATTCGAATATTCGATTCGAATAATTACGAATACGAATAATAAATTATATGTTTTATCTGAATATGAATAATTATTTATTCGATTCGAATAAAACGAATTATTCGTAATATTTAATAAATTGTTTAATAAATCTAACATTTGTCATTTCTATTTGTTGACCGACAGGTGATGTGTTTGTGTTTATAAAAATTCTAGCACAAATTTAAAAATTTCTGAAGTGAAGATTTAAATTTTTATTTGCCACATTTTTTGAATCTCACGAAAAGTTTATTTTTTGAATCTCATAATAAATTATATTAAAAATTACACAAACCAGAGGTACATAAAAATATAACATTTCTACAATAATTATTGTTAGCTAGCCTAATTATGTTAGAGGAGAATGCTTCTGATGAAATTATGCTTGATGTTGAAGATGAGAAAATTTCCTCACAAAAGAGAGCAATCATATGGGATAATATCAAATCCTTAAAGATAGTGAAAAAACTGCTTGCAATCATTGCAAGAGTATTATAAAATGTAAAGGCAAAACAACATCTTCTCTTATTAATCATTATATTAGGTTTCATTCACACCTTAGTAAAAAAAATAATAAAGACATTTTTTTAAAGTCTACACCAAATTCTTCAAAAAAAATTAATTTTAAGGATAATTTATTAAAATTATTTATAAATCATAATATTCCTTTTAAAATTATTAATTCTAATGATTTTAAAAATTTTATAAGTGATCTTGATTGTTCTGTAAAATCAATATGCTCCAATACTCTTAAATTGCACATGTATAATACATTTGCAGAAAAAGAACAATTGGTAAAGGAAATAATATCTAAAAATAAGTCAGATTAATTTTTCATCTGACATTTGGACTAGCCCAACACAGGTTCCTTTTTTAGGGCTAACAGCCCATTTTATTGATGATAATTTTAAAATAAATAACATAATTTTGGATGTCAGTCCAATAAATGAAACACATTCAGGAGAAAATATATTTAAAGCCTTTGTCAAAATAATTAAAAATTATAATTTAGAGAATAAAAATTTTTATATAACTTTAGATAATGCAACTAATAATAAAACATTTATTGATACATTTTCTTTAAAATATCCCTTAATAAAAATAGGGCACATCCGATGCTTTGCCCATGTAATTAATTTAATATCCAAAGAAATTTTAAAATTTTTAGACCCTTCAATTTTAAAACTAGGAAACATTATTAGAATGATTCGTAATTCCCCTCAAAAATTAAATTTATTAAAAAATATATGTACCCTACATCCTCCCCTAAATTTTTTAAAACCAAAATTGGATTGTGAAATAAGGTGGAATAGCACCTATCAAATGATTGAAAGGGGCTTATTGTTAAAGCCTGCTATAACAAAATTATTTAATGAATTAATAACTAACATTAAAATACTTCAAGAAAAACAAATATGAGAGGTAAACTAAAATTTATAATTAGGTAATAATATAATACTTTGATAACATATAGGAAGAATGGGAGGATCTTATAAAAATTAAAGCTATACTATTGCCTTTATATGAAACTACAAATGGTATGTGGGAAGAATTATCCTACTTATAATTTGGTTATACCTTATTATATTTTAATTCTTGAACATCTAAAAAATGAAAAACCTGGTTTCCATAAATCCTTTAACAATAGTTTCAAAGTAGCATGTGATAAATTGTTGGGCTATTATAATTTAACTGCCGATGATGCAATAATAACCACAATATCCCAGGCTTAAAGTATAATATTTTAAATCAATATCTGTTGATTATGATATTGATATATCCAAGTTAATGGAGAAATTTAAAGAGATTTACAATAGATATACAGGTATTTAATTTACCCCCATTTAAATATGATTTTATTTTATAAGCTCATATTTATAACTGCCAAAAAAATAAGGATAAAATTCAACAAAACAGGCTAGACATTGTTTTTAAACAAAATAATATTCAACTGTGTGAAATAGATTTTTATCAGAGTGAACCAAGAGCAAAGAGTAGTGTTGTTAAACGGCTCATTTTGAGCCGATTTTTAAAAACGGCTAACTCAATATTTCGTCCAGAATAGTAATACGCAAGCCTGAAGATTTTGTTTGTAGAAGGAACAATGGTTTGGACATCTATTAGCGAAATCTCGAGGCTTAGACAATATTTTTCTAGCTAAAATATTGAATTAGCCGTTTTTAAAAATCGGCTCAAAACGAGCCGTTTAACAACACTAGCAAAGAGTGATAATGACCCGTTAATGTGATGGAAGGCAAATGCATATCGTATCCCCATACTCTCGAAAATGGCAAGGGATTATCTATCTATACAAGGAACATCAACTGCTTGTGAAAGGCTTTTCTCAGTTGGAACTAATTTATTGTCAAAAAACCGGATGTCATATAAGGAAGAAAATGTAAGAAAAACTCTTTGCCTTAAAAATTGGCTTAAATTATAAATTAAATTAATAATATATATTTTAATTTTGTTTATAACTTGATTATATATTATTTATTATCAGATTATTGATTACATATTATTATAATTTTTTCTGTTTAAAATCAAATTTGTAATAAAAATTTTTGTCATATTTGAGTATGATTTATTTTATTAAAAAAATTAATATCGAATACAAATAGTAGATTTTATTATTCGTACAACGAATCGAATATGAATAATGCACTATTCGATTCGAATTCGTTTTTGAATAGGCCTAGTACAAACTATCATAGATTTATATTTTAAAGATAATATGGGTTCTGGGGGTAGTTTTCAGAAGATCTTACAAATGATTTGCACATCATCTATAGTAAGACCTGAAATAATAGATTTTGCATTTTTTTAAATAAATATTCATTTTTAAATATGCTAAAATTATAAATAAAATTTTAGTTCTAACAAAAGCCCCTCACAAATGGGATAATCTTCACCTAAATTTTTTCCCAGATAAATTATAAAGGGTAGGCACTGGTCTCAATTGTATATAAAGTTAAGGGAAATAGTGCTATTCTGATGCTGAAAAGTTACAATTTTAAAAGCAAATAACTGATTATTGATTTTTTTGATACATAATTTTTTTTATTAAAATATATGTATAAAAAAATATAAAGGAGACACTAAGAAGCATTGCTCTCTTTTTTTTAAAATTAGGATTGAGAGTATGTTTCTCTTAAAAACTCAGCAGTGGGAGCAGGAGTTAGCTCATTTTGAAATAGTAGAAGTGGGAGCAGGAGCTAGCTCATTTTGAAATAGTAGGAGTGCTAGTTCTTTTTAAACATACCACCTGGTAAGATTATTTTTAATTAAATAAATATTTTATTTTATCAAACAGGATTAATTAAATTGGATAAAAATATTAATGGAGATTTTTGATACCTCCTTTAATTTTCACAATATTAAAATAATTTTTGGGTTTATTATATTAATATAATAATTTTAGAATAAATAAACATATAATATCATAAGATAATAAAATTTAGCAATACTTTTATGATAGTATAAGTTTTTATTTGAAAGCAAAAACTATTATTAAAATAAATGATATCTATTATTTAGAAAATCATTAATCAATGCCAACCCTATAATAGTTTTAAGATATAAATTTTATCTTTTCAAACTTTATCATCTATATTCAGGGTAATAAATTATGGAAAGGGGGGAATTTGCCACTACAAAATTTTTGACCTCCCATAACAAAAGTGCAAATATGGGTTATGGTCATTTTTATGCATGATAAAAAATATATATAACCATTATAACTTGCTTATTCATCATAAAAATACTAAAAAATATTATTCAATTTCCAGTTGTATACAACTGATATATGCAATTTTTGATAAAAATATGCCAAAATAATTACCCCAGTGAACCAAGAAAAAAATTCCAACTTATGGCCCCATCCAGATTATATTTATTTTTAAACAAAATACAAATATTATTATAAAAACTTACATTTTACAAAATAATTCATATAAGCCTCATCAAAATCTTTGATAACCTTTTCACATTTATGTAAGGCTTCCCTTCCAAAATAAAAATTACAATAATCTCGTCTACGTCTAAGTATATTAATGATCGCAGAATCAATTTCTCTGTAATTTAAAAAAAGTATTCTTTATATTTGATTTTAGATTTTTACCTGTCTCGAAGGAATTGCAAGTTTGCCTCATAATAACAAGGAAAATCATCGGTGTAGCATTGGTCTACATCTTTAACTCGATTAAATTTTCTATGATAGTACACAGGTGGATTTCGATGACTAATTATCCAAGTATCTAAAATCATCACCAATAAATAATATTAGGCATAAATAAACTTAAATTTTTGGCAGGTAAGTATATATATTTTAACATAAATCCTTGCCAGGCTTTATACATTTGGCTCCCCGTCTCGGGTTTAAGAAGTTCAACTTCACTCCTATCCATCAAGAAGAAACGTGAAATAGAATGAAAATTGCCACTATTTTTAATCAAATTGTTGATAAAATGAGAATATCTAATGTCACTTACAATCTCAAATTTAAATCTTTGACAGGTAACTTCCAAATTATAGATAAATGGCATATATGATGAAATATAATGTAATGTTATTTGAGAAACGATACCCGTATGAATTTTAAGCATATAGAGTTAGTCCCTATGTGCGTCAGCTTACGCAAAAATGATGAATGATTATTCTCATTTTAATTTACACCTCCGCTCCCCCCCCTCCATTTCCCCTCCTCCAGTTTTTTGATTAATATGAGAATTATCAAGAGTAGCTCTAGTGTTTTTAACAACTCAAAAAGGTATAAGCGTTCAGAATGATGAGTGAAAAAGATTATAAGAGTTAATCATAAAAATATTAGGTACGCTAATGATCTATGGAGTAAGGACCTTATAGGTGAAAATAAAAATGGTCCACCCATATAACCAGTTTATATAAACGATATACTAGGTTATCACCAAATTTAAATGATTATAAAAATCCTAGCTCTTTAAGATTTTTGAAAAGTTTCACCTCTTTGAAGGCCCTATGGCGATTATATATCTGTCTGTAATGAGTAATTATAGTTTATTAAATATTTGGTTTTACGCCTTTTTATAAAAAAAAAATTTTCTTTCAAAAATATCAAACATATATATTTTTAAATATAATTATTAGCTTATAATTATTATTTTTTAATTGTTATATTTTGAGGGGGAGATGCAGGTAGAAGGAAATTTAGGGAAATACTTTTTTCATTCTCTTGAAATAATATTTATGAAAACTAATAACTTTGCTATTATAGGACCTTTCCCCCCTCCCCCATTTAAAACAGTAACCCTAGCCCATGGTGACCAAATGGTGCATAAAGTTACCGTTATATGACAATGATAAGCAAATAGGATTGGTAATATCAGCATTTGTGTGAATTATTTTTATGATATTATAAATATTTTTTGTTTTATTAGTAGTCATGACATCGGTTCATATCTTACGATCAGAGTCTTGGCATAATTAAGGGGAGGTGTCATAATTAACGATATTTGGATATTTTAAAGATTAGGATAAAATGATTTTACAGCTGTCATCTTTATAAAGTGATATCCATTTGGGGTGATATTGTTACTCTTTTGTTTTACATTTATAACTTCTTACTTTTATATTATTTTCTCCTCACTTTTACATTATTTCCATCTTAGTTTACATGTTACTTTACAAAGTAACTAGTTATATATATATATATATATTATATATATATATATAAATGTACTTTATCCAAATATAACCAGGTATATTATTCGCCTCAGATCTAATAATTAAATACTAGTTAACTTAATTTTATTTAAATATTATGAATTATGTTACTTATTTAATTTATTAAACAAAAGCAGTATAAGAAAAAATATTATTATATTATTTATTCTATATATCCCTTTTTAGCATTAGGAACAAATAATACATAGTATAATTTATTTTAAAATTTAATATGAAATATTATTTACAATATATACATACATATTTAAGTAAGCATGTCTGAGGTAACTATTGGAGAATAGATTGAAATAGAAAGAACTGAAACAAATAAACAGAATATATATAAACATATATAAAATAATTTTTTACTACTTTATTACATAATTATAAAATAATAAGACATAAATTTTAAAAAGCAAAGGGTTAAAGTTAACATAAAAATTAAGAAAAATGCTTTCCCAAAAATTGGAAAGTAGTATAATATTCACAAAATCTCAATTATACATCTTTTCTTTATGTTGCGTTATTATAATTATATATTTTTGTAATCTAATTTTATTTTTATATTACATTTTATGAATTCAAATTTATCTTTTCAACTTAACTTTTTATTTTTGTAATTCAACTTATATTACTTATTATTTTGCGTAACCTTATTTATATAACTTTCGGTTTAACTTTACTTTTTTTATATTATTTTATTTTTTATATTCTAATTTATATTTTATAAAACGTATAAATACCTTAAGAAAAGAAAAAGAAATTAGTCAATAAAGTTAATAAAATATATTTTTACTGACTCGAACCTCGCACCATATCGTCACCAACCTTATTCTTTGCATGGTGCCCTTTGGGTGGTGGACTAGAAAAAGATGACTACCTAATCTGCTGAGATGACCATCTAATCTATGACGATTGTTTAATCCATTGAGATGACTCTATTTATATGACTACCTATTGTGATGATTGCTTAATCCATTGAGATGACTCTATTTAGACTACCTATTGTGACGATTGTTTAATCCATTGAGATGACTCTATTTATATGACTACCTATTGTGTTGATTGCCTAACCTATGGAGATGACTACCTATTATGACTCTACCTTGTGCTTAACCTATGGAGATGACTACCTATTATGACTCTACCTTGTGCTTAACCTATGGAGATGACTACCTATTATGACTACCTTATCTATTGTGATGTTATGACTACCTTATCTATTGTGACTACCTAAACTACTGAGATGACCAAGAATCAAACCTTAGTACGTTCTTTCATGCAAAAAGCTTCTTTCTTTATGGTGTCCCGGCTCTGGATGTTGGACTGGAATATAATAGCCAGCACCTAACCTAATGTGACAACCTAGGAAGAACTGATATGGAAGTTGAACGATAGGTTATGAATTCTATTTTGTGAGACCAATGATGGTTACTTATTATTCTAATCCACGTAAGAAGTATTATAAATTAAAATTTTATGCCAGGATAAAGGCATGTTATAAATTTTTAAAATTACTAAAACGTAAAATCATAATGGATAATATTGATATTTTTTGATTTCTTGAATGATGACCAATTGTTGTAAATTAACATAAACCTAAAGATGAATTCTTAAATATAATTAAAAATATTAAAAATCCTAAACAAGAAGATAAAACTTAATTTTAAATATGTTAAAATGTAATTTTTAAATCACATGATTGATTCAAATAACCCTTATAAGTAATACTTAATATGATAAAAAGTTTTTGAAATTAAAAGCTTTGAAGACAAAAAGTTATGTAAAAAAAACATTCATTTTAGAAAAATATATTTAAATTATGTGGTGAATTTTCAAAACATGAAGAATTTTTTTTTTTGAATTAAAATTAGGGTGTGAAATTTAAAATTTTATTTAAAGAGAGGGAAATGTGAATAATATATTATTTGCATATTTTAACCTGGGAGATAGAAAATAAACAAAAATTAATTAAACACTAAAACACGAAAAATTAAACGCTTATAAAATATGAAATGCTAAAAAATGTAAAACGCAAAAAATATAAAACGCTAAAAATATAAAACGCTATGATTAACTTAAAAATAATATAATAATTATTATAATTTATCATTCCTTATTCTGGATTAAAATTTTATTCCTTATTCCATAAATTATCATTCCTTATTATATATTTTATTGTTCCAAAATTCAAAATTTTATTCGTGCATATTATTCATATATTTGATTTGATCAACTATTCCAAATTACATATTCTGATTTATTCCAAATTCCAATATTCAACTGGAAAAATGATAATTAACAATTGAGTACGATCAAACAAGCTATGATTAATGGAGACAATTATATGGATATCAAGCTTGTGATTAAACAAACCAACGTGCAAAATCGATTTATACAAACCAACGATTGGACTAGCCAACGTTATGATGATTTGTGATACAACTTGTTTACCAAAACGATAAACCACTTGGACAACAAACTCTCTGTGTCTTCTCCGATGAAATTATCAGAAGAGGGAGAATGTTGCGTTATTATAATTATATATTTTTGTAATCTAATTTTATTTTTATATTACATTTTATGAATTCAAATTTATCTTTTCAACTTAACTTTTTATTTTTGTAATTCAACTTATATTACTTATTATTTTGCGTAACCTTATTTATATAACTTTCGGTTTAACTTTACTTTTTTTATATTATTTTATTTTTTATATTCTAATTTATATTTTATAAAACGTATAAATACCTTAAGAAAAGAAAAAGAAATTAGTCAATAAAGTTAATAAAATATATTTTTACTGACTCGAACCTCGCACCATATCGTCACCAACCTTATTCTTTGCACTTTAATAATCATTTACACTGTAATCTTAAATAATATCATATTCTAATTTGAATAATCCATTTTTCGTTTTCATCTAAATAATACAACACCCTTCCATTTAAATCAGACCCACTATTCTGCAAACGAGCAACTCTCTTTCTATTTAGGTTTTAATGATCTTGTAGCTCACGAATGCTAATCTGCTTTTATTACTTATCCGATAACTTGCCTTAATCACATATGTACTTCTAAGTTCTAACAACGGCTGTCACTTGTATTCTTCTACTGACTGTTTTTATCTGATTACCGCTTTATTGCCTTTACAAGTATATTTCTTTACTAACAGATTGAAATTTTTGAATTCTATTTTCTGTTGCTTGTCAACACCTGGTAAAAGATTAGCTCTTTATCTCTGTAAGCGATTGATGAACCAGATTAACGCTTGCTTTAAACGATTCACAATTGCTAGTTAACAATTATCTATTTTACTAGTCTTTCTTTATAATTTTGTTTCTTCTAAAGTATGTCTCAATGACATATATTATATGTTATTGGTATGTCTTAAATTTTTTTGATAAATTATACTAGTGTTTGCTTGTTTCTACCATTCTCTTGTAATAAATTATTAGCGCTTTATCTCGATAAACGATTGACACTTGATCTGCGATTAACAATTGTTTTCACGAATTCTTGTTTCTATGATCGTCTATTTCCGTATCTTGCTAAAGTTTCGAATTGGTGATAATTAGTGGATAAACGATTGCAGCTTGAACGTCTTGACCATTTGTTCTATCTAGTCGCTTGTTTCCAACGTTCTCTTGTAAATGATTGGTTCTTTGCATCTATTCCTTGAAATTGTATAGATCATTTAGACTTTCGGGTCTTCTATGGCAGTTTGCAATTGCCGAGATATCGACTTTGTATTAAGGTCTCCTTATCCTCACTTTATCTTTGTTTTAAGGT